GAGTACGAGTACGAGTACGAGTGCCCACCCTTCAAGTACGAGTTCGAGTACGAGTACCAACCCTTCGAGTACGAGTACGAGTACGAGTACCACAAAAAACGTACTCGAGTACGAGTACGTACTCGTACTTGCCCAGCTCTGTGTTTAGGTATGTAACAGTTCATTTATCAAAGCTCCATTCACAGTTTTATTGTATGGCTATGGTGACTCAGCAAATAGTTATCTACAACTTGATCGACCACTTCTCAGCAGGCATCTACAAATTTTGGGATGGATTTGCAATGAAGCACAAGCAATGATGGAAAGTGCCTTATCTTTTCTAAGCGAGACGAATTTCGTTAGTGCATCAGTATTATCTCGAATTTCATTCGAATCAGAAATAGATCAAAAAATTAATATACTCATCAAACAACATGTACAAAACTTTTATTTTGTATTAGATTTTAGCACTAAAATGTTTCAAATTAGTATGCTTCCTTCAAGCTTCAATAATGATTGGTTACTTCAATATGGTAACGAGCAGAATGATTATCTGCTACGAAGTGTTCCTCGTTTGTTCACTAATAGTACGTGTAATTGTGCTGCATTAGATAAGTGCCAAGAACCTCTACGTATCGGTCCACCAGATCTCGTATTACCTGGTCTTGTGAAAGGTTGTTCACCGGTTGTTGGACTGCAAATGTCGAATCTTGAATGTTTTTTCTCGTCAGACTGCATTGCTACTATTCTCACTTATCTCGAATATTATACACAGATGGATGGTTCACCACCAGCTCATTTCATTCCACCAATGGTACTTCCTCTTATGCTTGATCCGTTAGATAATTCGATACCATCAAGATTTTCACCAAACACTTCAATTGATACAATCATAAGTGAAATGTTGGTTGAGCAGCTGAATAGAACAATAACCTATGAAAATTATTTTGCTTCATGTACACCAAGTATGTGTCGCTATGAATATGTAAAAAGAAATGACATATTGTATGTGATAACCTCAGCACTTAGTCTCTATGGTGGTCTTACTATCATTTTGCGATTTATTACTTGGAATAGTGTTCGAATGTTTCAATCTTGTAGAAGCCGGCTGTTTACCCGTCATACTGCAGTTCAGCCAATGTATTGAATAGGAAGGACAGATGAATGTTGACTTATAAATTTAAAACCCAAACATATAATATAAGCAGAATCATTTTATTCATTTGCTTGCAATATTTTCTTATATTTATCTGGTACCTTTCTCTAGTCAATGTGCTTGTTGTTCGTTCGTATTATACTTGCTTCTTCGAAATAAATCAGAATAAATGTCTCTATATTATGTTAGTCAACTTCGGAAGATGCTATCAATCAGAGATGAGAACAAGACAGGACGGTGCCGCCATCCTGCTGTCCTGTCTTACCATACAGGATAAGACAAGAATTTTTGTCCTATCCTGTGAGCGGCAGGACAGCGATTTTCGTAGGAAAGCATAGAACAGCACACTTAACTTCGTCCTGAATTTTTATATGTAGTTTTTGGATGAATTTTTCAAAAAAATTTGCTTAAATATTATATTACTTGCGGCAATTAGTTAAGACGTCACATATTAAGTATTATATACTAGCAAGAATCCGTGCACAGAGGTGGCGGAGCTATTAGACTTGGAAAGGCTCAAGCCTCCCGTAAAAAATGAAAGGGGAGGCTCAGTATTTGAGAAAATTTTAGGATCTCATTCTGAATTAAACCGGGTTTCCCAAAATGTTATCAACAAAGTTTATTTTGTATGTATCTTTGCATGCACAAATGCTAAAATCATGAATTTTTTTAAAATGCATTGTCGACGCTCTCTACAACAACTCCATCAAAAAATCCCATTGACTTCCGTTGATGAATTTTTAGAAAACTGAAAGAAAAGATGTATAAAAGGTTTCTACTTCCCATTATATTAAAAATAACAAACGTATTGGAAATAATATCTATTTTTCATTTTTTTTCGCACAAATTATGATAACGACTTGAGTTATTTTTAAAGATACGTCATTAAATTGTCCACAATATTTAGAGAAAAACATTTTCTTGACTTATTGTAATCAATTTTGAGATGGTAAAAAGTAAAGATGTACGCGATACTGCGATTTTCTACTATAACAGTAGACTAAAAGCGTCAGAAATGGCAAGCTGATCATCGAAAGCAAGGTTTTTTGTACAAAAACGCACTACTAAATGCAGTGATACCATCAACATGATCTGTTTCGTGTTCGAAAGTTGTCTTAAAGAATCAAAAATGAACAGTTAGGCGATTAGTTGTTTAAACAGAGAAGCAAGTTCAACTCAAAATAGTGAAAAAATAGAGTCGCGTACATCTTTGCTTTTAGCCATTATAAAAATCGATTAGAACAAGTCAAGAAAACATTTTGTTTTTTTGAAAAAATTCAAGTTCTATGATTTGTTTGAGTGACAATAAATGAGAAATAGATATATTAAAACTCTTTTTATTTTTTCTCATACAGGGAAAAGTAGCAACATTTTATATATCTTTTTTTTCAGTTTTCTAAAACCTCATCAGAATAAGTCAACAGAACTTTGTGATGCAGTTGCCCTAAAGAATTCAGCAGTAGATGTTAGGATTCATTTTTCGGAATTTTTCTATAAATTCTCATGTTTATGTTACCGTCAAATGAAAATAATTAACGCAAAGACGACTGTCTGACTGAGGGTGATGGCAGAGAAGATTTTGGACGAGGATGTGGATGTGGGTGTGGGTGTGAATCTTCATCTCCACCACATCCACACCCACCATCATTAGTAATAATAAATAAAATTTCTTCTAAATTGGGAGCTAATGGAAAAAAAAAGACAGGAAAATGACTTGAAAGATGAATCCAAACTAATATGAATTCAACGTAAATATAACTAACGTATACCTGTTTGTTCATATTTTACTGTGCATAGAATAATAAGAACGATTTCATTACATATATAGCACTGTTAGCGAAGTGGTTATCGCGTCTATTTTACTTACAGAAGATCGTAGGTTCGATTTCTGCACGGGAAATTTTCATTCCTTTTTTTTGCTTTGAAATGTATTAAAGAAGGGTATGAGTGTGTG